GCCCCCTCGGAACCTGGCGGGTTCACAGGCTCCCCCTCCCCCCCAGGTGTGCCCGGGAAGAGGCCCCCCCCCCATCCTCCACCCCAGTGGATGGCAGAGGAACAACACAGTCCGTCCTCCCCTCTCTCGGGCTGTGTGACCCTGGGAAAGTGGCCTCACCTCTCTGGGCCTGGCTTCCACCAGGAGGGAGGGCTGGGAGGCGACGGCCAACCTTGATTAATGAGTGTTTGTGCAAAGGTCCCGGAGATGCTGCTGATAACAGGCCCAGCTATTATTCTGGGAAGGTACTGAGGAGTGTCTGAGCCCGTAATTACGGGCTGGATGGAAACAGTGAGACCTCACCCAGCCCGGCCACCGCCCCCCACGCCTGCCCTCCTGCCCTGCCCTGGGCGCCCCCGGGGGCCAGGAAAGGAGGTCCCGGACCCCAGCCTGGGCTCCCAGCACTGAGTTTCTTCCACCCCGTCCACCGGGTCCTTTCTCGTTTCCTTCTTCCTACAGAGGTTTATTGAGCACCAACTGTGTCTGCTGCATGAACAAAACACGTGCAGCCGTGAGAGGTCGGGCAGGAGGGCAGTCGGGCGAGGAATGAATAACAGTCCAACAAGGAAATTTTTTTTTTCATTTAGTGATAAGGACCCACTGGGAGGAACTGGATATCAAATCTGGAAGGGCTCCTCTGAGGAGGCATCAGCTGGCAAAGGAAAGAAGAGATGGAGACACCACTCAGAGAGAATCTCACGTGCAAAGGCCCCGGGGCAGAGGGCCACTGGCCTGCCCCTCTGAGCCCGTGCTCCCCGGCCATCAGAGAGGCCTGCTGCCCACGCCTCCCCTGCCCACGACAGAGAGCGTGGAAGAGAGGCAGACGAGGCTGGTCCAGCTAAGCGCTCACTTCCTGTGCATTCTCGATGATTCACTTCCAACATCCCTCCTCTCTCTCTTCCCCACCTGCGTGCCCCCCACCTACACCCGCTGCCTGCTCGATGCCCAGCAAGCCCAGTGTCCGCTTCCTCCCGGAAAGTAGGGAACAGCAGGTGTCCCCTTAGGCTGCTTGGACTGTCCTGACCCTCCCACACTGCCCTCCAGCCAGGCGGCTTCCTGTCCTCCTCCCCACGTTCCCTCCGTCCTGCCACCGGCCCTTTGCACCTGCTCTTTCTGTTGTCAGGCAGGTCCCCTCGGTGATGCCTGAGTTCATGTCTCAGCTGGGATTCCCTAGGGCTGCCCCCCACCCCACCTCCAGGGCCTGTTGGAGGGACAGGTCAGTCTCCAGCCAGCCAGAGGAGGGGGGAGAGCATGAGGACAGGGACAGCTCAGAGACCTGGAGGACACCCCGGAGGAGGCGGGTGCAGGGTGAGTTGAGTGCGGGTGGGGGAGAGCGAGGGCTGGCGCTCTGGCGGTGGCATGGCCGGCAGGGTGCAGGGGAGAGGAGGAGGCAGGGGTGCGGCAGGGAGGGCCCACGTCATGGCACGGCCGGGCTTCTCTAACCCAAGGCGGCACCGGCCAACCAGCCACGCTTGAGTGAGCCGAGCCCAGCTGCATCGAGGATGGCGTCAGGCGTCGGAGCGCGTCCTGCAGGGAACCCGCATTTCTCCACGCTGGGGGCCCTGGCCAGAGGCACCTGGGACATTTTTGTCCAGAGGGCCCCACCCCCACCGAGAAACGTGCACGCCACCGATGCACGGTTCGCGCGTCTGCCTGCATCTGCTCACAGGCCCTGCCCGCCGGCAGGCAGGGAGGCCGGGCATCGGGCAGGGGTGCAGGGGGCAGCCCTGGGCATGGTCCTGGTGCCACAGCGGGGGAAGAGCCCATTTCCAGAGAGGGAGGACTGGGAGGGGGATGCTTTGCCTTGCAAGTAGACCCAGGTTCCATTCCCAGCAGCAAGTATGTCCCCCCACCAAACGCTGCCGGGAGTGAGCCCTGAGCACAGAGCCAGGAGTGAGCCCTGAGCACAGAACCAGGAGTCAGCCCTGAGCACAGAGCCTGGAGTCAGCCCTGAGCACAGAGCCGGGAGTCAGCCCTGAGCACAGAGCCTGGAGTCAGCCCTGAGCACAGAACCAGGAGTCAGCCCTGAGCACAGAGCCTGGAGTCAGCCCTGAGCACAGAGCCGGGAGTCAGCCCTGAGCACAGAACCAGGAGTCAGCCCTGAGCACAGAGCCTGGAGTCAGCCCTGAGCACAGAGCCGGGAGTCAGCCCTGAGCACAGAGCCAGGAGGCAGCTCTATGCACTCCACGCGTGTTCCAAAAACAGCAAACCAACGGTCTCCCACACTGGGCAGAGCGCGGGGCTCGTTAGGAGGAAGAGCCCAGCCGGGGCCTGGCACGGACCTCAGCAGCCCCCCCACGCCCCACACCCCAGTCTGGGCTCAGCACCCCGGCACAGCCTGCGGGGTCCTAGAAGCTGGTCCCCGTGTCCCTGCTGCCCCCTGTCCCGTCAGCCCCTCATGGGCACTGGAAAACGCAGGGAGACCCCGAGCCCAGCAGGACCAGCTGAGGGGCCACTTCAGGGGACGGCCTTGTCTCTGTCCAGCCAAGTCCCCATTCCACACACCCAGGGCTCAGCCATCCCTCCAGGCTCTAGACCACGGGGCCTCCGGCCAGGCCTGCCCAGGGGATGTCCAGCCACTCCTCCTCCTCCTCCTCTCCTCCTCCTCATTCTCCTCTTTCTCCTCCTCCTTCTTCTCCTCGTCTCTTCCTCCTCCTCCTCCTCCTCCTCCTCCTCCTCTTCCTCCTCCTCCTCCTCCTCCTCCTCCCCCACCTCTCCCTCCTCCTCTCCCTCCTCCTCCTTCCCTCATTTCCAGCAATGCTTGTAGGACCATGTGGTGCTGAGGATTGAACCCGGGGCCACCCTATGCCGGTTCAAGTCCAGGCATTTCTCTTCCTCCTCTTTCTCCTCCTCCTCCCCCGCCTCCCCCCCCCATTTTCTTCTCTCTCTTCCTCTTCTTCTTGGAAGAGCATGGGAAGAGGACAAAGGCCAGCGGCCAGGGACTGGCCCTCAGCTTCTCCCAGCCTGGACAGTTTCCACATCACCTGACTCAGTGCTCCCCTGGGTGAGCGCCTGCTGGTCTCTCCAGGTCCAAATGTGGAAACAGAGGCTGGGGTCGCAGACCATGCTTCCCCTGTCACTCCCGCACGGCCCCTCCGCACGCCGCCCCCTACTCGCTACAGTGCTCGGGAGCTTCCCCATAGCCTCACTGGCAGGAGCTGTGCGCGTCATCTGGTCTACAACTCCCCCTCGGTCATACCCTCCAGAAGTCCCCACCAGTCCCCACCAGCCTGGCACTCCCCCCCCCCCCCAGGGACCCCAGGGCGCCCGCAGCGTGACCATCTCCGCGCTGTGTAACCACACTCAGGCTTCAAGCTGACGTCTGTGAGCTGGACAGGGCGTGGCCAGAGCGGGTGGGGGGTGGCAGGTACATTCCGTGGGGTGCTGGGGGTCCCCCCAACCACTGCCCCCTGACTGCTCTGCTTGAGCAGTCAGAGAAGACAGCAGCTTGCCAAGCAAAGGAGGAAGAAAATGCGGCTGAGGGCACGAGGCTCCTGGCCGGGTAGGTCAGCACCCACTGCGGAGGCCAGCTGGAGCCTGACCGAGGATGGGCGCCAAGGAGGGGTGTGTCGTGGGTGGTGGGGGCACCTCCGGCAGAAGGAGCTCAGCAGCGGGCGGGGGGGCGTGATTTGAGCCATTGCCGGACTCCAGGCTCAGTCCAGCCAGGCGGGGGCCACACGAGGTCTGCAGGGCTTGGGTTAGGGTCCTGGTGCCCAGACCTGCAACCAACCTGGTGGGCTTGGCCCACCGCAGCCCCTCTGGGGCCTGTGTCTCTACTGCAGGGGGGACATGGCCATAGGCCAGTCTTAGTGATGGCCACGTGACAGCTCACCAATGACGGGAGAGGGGGCCCAGGACATCTGGGGGAGAGCCTGCCTTGCAGGGGCGAAGCTGTGAGCTTGATCCCTGGCACCACCCCACCCACATGCCGATATGTGATCCCAGCAGCACCGTCCTTTGAGAGCGTGAGACGGTCAGGAGCACCGCAACCAGCTGTGTGTCCCTGTGTTAGAAACAGCAACAAAGGCAAGGTTGGGTGTGGGGCAAAAGAGGAGGAGGAGGAGAGAAGAAGAAAAGGAGGAGGAGGACGAGGAGGAGAAAGAGAAGAAGAAGAAGAAGAAGAAGAAGAAGAAGAAGAAGAAGAAGAAGAAGAAGAAGAAGAAGAAGAAGAAGAAGAAGAGGAGGAGGAGGAGGAGGAGGAAAAAGAAGAAAAAGAAAAGGAAAAGGAGGAGGAAGAGAAGGAGAAGAAGAAGAAGAAGAAAAAGAAGTAGGGCAGGAGGAAGAGGAGGAAAAGAAGATGATGATGAAGAAAACGAAGATGATGATGAAAAAGAAGAGACGGAAGAGGAGGAAGAAGAGAAGGAGAGGTGGAGGAGGAGGAAAAAAGAAACTTCTATTCAAAACTAGAAGGAGCCAGAGCGGCATCTCAGCGGGTGAGCGCAGGGTTTGCACACGGGGGACTGGCTTTGGCCCCTGGCACCACATGCCCCCCGAGCACCAGTGGGTGTGGCCCCACACGCAAAATCTCAAAAACTCACTCAAACACTAGAGTATCTGAGAGGGACACTGTGGGGCGCGCAGGTGGGCGTGCAAGCGCCCCCGTGGCTGAGAGCTCCCCCGCCCCCGTCAGCGTGTCTCTCCCGGGACCCTCGGGCGGGCACACGGCTGGCTGCCCCCACATGCCTCTGTGAAACAGAGCGACTGACCGCTCAGAGAGGGGCAGCTCCCCCGTTGCCTGCCAGTGGTGCTGAGTGCTGTGGACACGAAAACAGGCCACCGGGTGAGTCCCGAGACCCCCGCGGGGACCACCAGCCAGCAGGGATGCCCGGAGAAACAGCCAGTGACAACGTGGGTAGGGGCGTGCGCCTCCCCGCAGGGCGGCCGTTCCTCACCACCCTCGCCTCGGTGTCCTGGCCCCTCGCGGTGGCACCTGCCATGCTCCCCACCCGAGACCCTCCCTCCGGCTCCTGGGGGGACCTACCCAGGCCCCGTCTCGCCAACCGGCCTGGCTCACTCGGCCCCCCTCCCTGACCCCTGTGAAAATCCACGCAAAACGGAAAGAAAAACAGCCAGGAAAGAGCGTGAGTCATTTGTTTACAGGCCAATGAATCGCCCGGCTTTTCGAAAACTCCGGCTCCATTCTTCCCTCCTTCCCCCCTCTGCCCTTTGAGAATGTTTGGAATCTGCCTTGTTTCCCAACGCAAAAGTATGTCAAGTTTATTTTTAGCAAACACTCACGATGGCGGGACTGTTATTCACCCTCCCGCGTCAATCGTGGGGAGCCCGCCACCGCCACCAAGGGCACCGGCTGCTTAATGCTCTTCAGATGTGCCCAGGGGCCTGTGACGATGGTCCCGGCGGCTCGCAGGGGCCCAGGCTGGAGCCAAGGACCCAACAGTGGCCGCCTGCAGTTCCTCCTCCCGGCCAGAGGGGCGCTGTGGGCCGGGAGGAGCCGCGCGGCTCCCCAGCTGGCTTTGTGGGTGTCAGCCTGGAGTGTTGGCACCCAGCCTGAGCCTCCCCCAGCACCTCTTGCCTTTGGAAGGGAAATGGGAGAAACCTAACGGGCTCCCCTCCCGTTCCGCCGGGACAGGGATGGCCTGACCCACCCCATCGCGGCCTCCTGCCCACTGTCCAGCCCCCGCTCACTGTCCTCATCCCGGGGGGACGGGGGCTGGGACCAGCTCCCACCAGGGGCTCGCGACCAAGGCCTCTGCCTCCCACCCTGCTCCCAGGCTGGGTCTTGCAGCAACGCAGCATCCCAGCAAATGAAACTCTTCCTGAGGCTGGAGTGATAGCACAGTGGGGAGGGTGTTTGCCTTGCACGCGGCCAACCTGGGTTCAATTCCCAGCATCCCATAGGGTCCCCCTGAGCACCGCCAGGAGTGATTCCTGAGTGCAGAGCCAGGAGGAACTCCTGTGCATTGCCGGATGTGACCCAAAAAGAAAAATAATAATAATAATAATAAGGTTGTTCTTGGGCTGGAGCGATAGCACAGCAAGAAGGGCATCTGCCTTGCACGCAGCCAACCTGGGTTCAATTCCCAGCACCGCCAGGAGTAATTCCTGAGTGCATGAGCCAGGAGGAACCCCTGTCCATCGCCGGGTGTGACCCAAAAAGAAAAAAAAATGAAACTTTTCCCAGGGGAGCCAGTGGCAACATTCTATGGCCCAGAGACCCCCGGTAGGGGGAGTGCGGGGGCTCTGTCTGTCACAGTCCCTTTGTGACCCCCGAGTCTGGAAACGTGAACCAGGCTCACTGGGCCTTCTGGGTCCTGACCGGGTCCTACAGAGGGTTCCTGACGCCCCATGCCTGGAGCAGCCCTAGCACGTGGAATGGGGGTGGAGGTCTGCAGCCCCTCCTGAGCCCCCCACCCCCGCACGCACACGCACCCACCCTCCCCGTAACGCTTTCTCAGGCACCCCAGAAGCCTGCGCCCAGGCCTCCCCGCCCACCCTCCTCCTCGGGGCCAGCTACTCATCCTGACTTTCAGCTAAAGTGCCAAACCACGCGAGTCTCCGGCCAGCCCCAGCCCCGGGGGCCGCCGGTTCAAATCCTTGGTGGTGAGCGTTGGTGGCTGACGGGCCCGGCACAGCCCAGCCCTGGACAGGGGGTTGGGACGGAGAAGGTGCCTCGCCCCGCGTGGGAGTCGCATTATCCCGGCTTATGGGAGGGCCGGCCGGGCGGCTCCGCAGGGCCAGGGCTCGGCTGCCTGCCTGCGTGCTTCCCTTCCACTTAATTAAGGAAGCCGATAATAATCTAGGCGGAGCGTGGAGATAGAGGATGAGTTAGCAAACTGTGGCCGGCCGCTGATTGTATCTATTGTCGAGAGCCCAGATAGAATATCAGATTCGTCCCCTTTATGCGCCTATTAAGACAGTGTGTCATTAGGGGGACTTGTCAGGATGAAGGGCCCGGCCGCGGTCCTGCCCGGGGTGCCCACAGCAGGGGCAGGGGGCGGCCTGGAGAGGGTCGCGGGGCCCCCAGACACTGTCCTGTCCTCACAGAGCTGGTGGGGTGACGAGGGCCGGGTGATAAAGACAGCGAGGGCACACGCCAGGAGCTGGGGACAGGCCCTGAAGGGCGGGGAGTCTGGGGGCACTGGGGGGGCTGGGGGTCAGGAGAGCCCCCAGCTGCAGCCCAAAGCGGGGACAGGGGAGAGGGGGGTTGGCGAGGCATCATCTGGGTTTCCCCCTGGCTACCCCTCCTGTTCTACATCGTCTCCGATTCCGTCTGTCTTTGGGGAGCACCTACTGTGTGCCAGGCCCATAGGGTGCCAAGGGAGCACAGCGGGCTTCAGGCACCTGCCCTGAGAAGGGACCATGGTGGACAGAGTAAGAACAGAGGCCTCTGATGGCGGGGCAGGCAGGGAAAGGGGAGGACCGGCACCACGATGCCCGTGGAGTTGGTGACGCTTCACCAGGGCGGTCAGGGGACGTTTCCCTGAGAAGGGGACATTGAGGTGAGATCCGTGTCAAAGAGCGGAGGGAGGTGCCAGCAGGGCAGCAAGTTCAAAGGTCCTGGGGTCAGCTCAGGCCTGTTATTTTGGAGCCAAAACAAGCAAGCCACAAAGGCCAGGACCAAGGAGCGCGGATGAGAGGACAAAAGGCACGGGGCAGCCGGGCCAGGGCCCAGTGGCTCTGGCAAGGACTGGCCGGTGCTCTGAAAGGGAGCCTGGACGAGCTCGAAGCACAAACAGGACCGTGAGCCAGGTTCTGCTCAGACGGAGCAGGAGCCCTTCAGGGGCCTCTGGAATCGGGCTGAGGCCAAGGGGCAGGGGCTGGGGGTGCACCCAGGACCTGAGCCCAGGCTCTGCCCAGCCGCCCAGAGTCCCTGAAGACCGAGTCCAGCCCCCAGCCTCCGTCAGCCGGAGCCACTGAGGGAGAGAGTGAGCAGGAAAGGGGCCCCCAGGGCCGGGCCACGGCGTGACACAACATTTAATAATTTCCCCGCCGAGTTTTGCAATGGGCACCCTTTATCGATGGGTGAAGGAGGAAGATTTTGCAACCTCCCCAACGGGTGATGGTGTCAGCTGCCAGGCCCGAGGGGAGCGGCCCGGACGCGGGCATCTGCTTGACCCGCAGGAATGGAGAGCGCAAAAGGAAGGCTGGAGCAAGGCTCTCACGTGGGCGGCCCTGGTTCCATCCCCAGCTCCCATGGTCCCCCGGACACTGAGCCAGGAGGCGCCTCCAAGCACCTCTGGGTGTAGCTCCCAAACCAGCGTGAGAATTAAATCCTGGGCCGGAGCAATATGGGGAGAGCACTTGCCTTGCACACAGTGGACCAGGGCTCGATCCCCAGCACTCCACAGCGTCGTCCCCGAGCCTGACAGGAGTGACCACTGAGTGCGGAGGTGTAAGCCCTGAGCGCCACCAGGTGTGACCCAAAATCCGAAAGGGGAGGAGGAGGAGGAAGCAGAGGAGAAGGAAGAGAGAACGGAGAAGGAAAAGGAGAAGGAGGAGGAGGAGGAGAAAGGAAGAAGGAGGAAGAGAAGGAGGAGAAGGAGAAAGAGGAGGAAGAGGGGGAGGAAGAGAGGAAGAAGGAAGAGGAGGAGGAGAAAGGAAGAAGGAGGAAGAGAAGGAGGAGAAGGAGAAAGAGGAGGAAGAGGAGGAGGAAGAGAGGAAGAAGGAGGAGGAGGAGGAAGAGAAGGAGAAAGAGTAGAAAGGAGGAGGAAGAGAGGAAGAAGGAGGAGAAGAAGGGAGGAGGAGGAGGAGGAGGAAGTGGAAGAAGGAGGAGGAGGAGGGGAGGGAGGAAGAGGAGCAGAGGAGCGGCCGCACCCAGGGCCCTGCTCAGCGCCTAGTCTCAGCACCCACACTTGGCCAGTGACCTCGCTTAGACGCCCCACTCTGGACCGCAGCCCTGAACAAAGCGGAGACTGAAGCCGTGTGGTGCCAGGGACCAAACCCGGGTCTCTGGCGTGGAGGGCAAGTGCTCTAGCTCGGGGCACGTCCCTGCAGCCACCCTGGACTGGGACCCCAGCCCCCCAGTCCCACGCCTCCACTGACTGCACATCCGAGTTCACCCTTCACAGCCACCCTGACAGAGGGTTGCGGACCAAGGAACTGAATCTCAGAGAAGAGAGTGACGGCCGGGACCTGTCCCCTGCCTCTGAGGCGGTCCCTGGCCGTTCTGGTCCTGTCCTGACCTTGCTCAGGGTTGGGCCTAGGGCCTGGGCAGCGAGACACGGCACCATGACTACTTGGAGCTGTCCCGCCCCACACCTGCTCCCCCCCCCCCCCCGCCCCATCCCTGGGGACAGACAGGATGCCCCCGCTGACAGCTCCCACCACCCCTCAAAGTCATTTACTGCCACCGGAGGTCTGGAGTCGGGGAATCCCGTCTGCCAGAGGAGGTCCCGGAGTCAGTGCCCAGGACCTCAAGTCAGACAGGAGGAGGTGTGGAGACATGGGGGGGGAGCGGGGACCCCAGGCCCCCTGCGGGTTCTCTGCCTCCCCAGCCCCGTGTCTCTGCGTCTCTTTCTCTCTCCACCCGCCCTGGTCGCTGGGTGCGAGGGCCCAGAGGAGCTCCCGGGGCTGGAGCACATGTGTCGCACACAGGAAGGCCAGGATCAGCCCCTGGCACCACATGAAGGTCACCCCCAAGCGCACCGGGTGTGGCTCAAAACCAAATCGGCAAGAGAATGAATGCAACTTTTTACTGAGGTGCAGGCTGCTGCGTTTGCCTGGAACCTTCTCCCCGCCGCGGGTCCCGTCACCTCGCCTCCCACGGGGGAGCGGGCAGGGCAGGGTGGGCTACAGAGCCAGCAGGACGCGCCAACTGGCCGCAGCCGCAAGGGTCCCACACCTGGATGCGGCTGAGTCCCACCCACGGGGCAAGGGCAGGCGCTGATTGGCCCAGGCCGCACTGGCCCCGCCCCGCCCCTCGCAGTGATTGGCTGAGCTCACGGGTGCGCGCTTTTTCATCCTCTTGGGCTCAAGGATGCTCGGACCTGCCAGGCTGGCAGCAAGCCAGGAGGAGC